GCTGTAGAGTGGGAGTCAGAGTCCAATACTGTGTCCTACTCACTCCAGTACTTTCTCTCAAATGATGTTACAAAGGTGACACTAGACAAGTACTGAACAGCAGCTACAAGGCAAGGAGCAATCTGGTTCAGTGTGTCAACTCTCAAGTGTTGAATGTTCAAGAGGCGTGCTGCTGGAGATAAGGGAAACTTGAATGTGTGATTCTATTCTGGAGGAAGCAATAAAGAATATAAAATAATACTTTTTAAATCATCTGCTCTCAATAGGTGTGTCTACATGTCACCATATGGCAACGTTGCTATGGCGCTGTGCTTTAGTACTTCATCTTGGAAGTACTAAAGCATGGCGCAGTACATCCTCCTGCTCTGTGCGTGCTACACATGGATACATTTCCCAGCTATGTCTCATAGCAGCTCACTATACTGGGGGAGTGCACTGCTACGGTGACTTAGCTGGCGATCATATGTAGACCTATGCGATTGCTACGTTGCCATAGGTCAACATGTAGACGCCCTATGTATAATAGAAGCCCCCCCGTGCTTTTTATTAGTTGGAGTAAAGTGTGTGTAAATGCATTTGGTTATTGGTGCAGGGTGGGAAAAATTAAGGAAGGTCCATTTTGCCATGCAGATCAGTGGAACTGGCAAAATTCAGTTGACAAAATTAAATTACATTTCTAATTACACCTGTGTAACCAGAGGCAGAAATCATAACCTTAGGGCTACTAAAATGTAATTGAGAACAGGAGCTTATCTGCAGAATGTTCTTTCTAATAATGAAAATGCAGAACCCAGGAGAAAAATACAGCTTGACCATTTAATCCTCAGTTCAATTAGCAGTACCACCAACTAAAACAAACATCCTAACTTAGAAAAGAGTAACATATTCAACATCAGACAAATCCATGCTGCTGCATTTACAGTCGTTTTTCAGTATAGAAGTGTACTTTGAGGGTGACTAACTCTCGAAGTAAAATTATCTTATAAGATGTACATGCTGAGGAAAGCAGGGGTACATTTTGGAATGTGAACTGGTGCTTCATAGATGCTAGGGTTGGAAGGGACCTCAATAGATCATCGAGTCCGACCCCCTGCATAGGCAGGAATGAGTGCTGGGTTCAGATGACCCCAGGTAGATGGTTATCTAACCTCCTCTTGAATTATCTAACCTCCTCTTCATGTACATGATAGTGTTTGGCATATGTCTACCTATGCCAGAACGTAGCTATTCACACAGGGGAATTGAGCAACTAGTACTAGATTATACAAGATTTGTGATACGGTATGTTCTGGAAAGAATCTGTAAATTATATCACCATAGTGCATCATTAGGAGTTTAAAGGACATTTAGATTATCTGTTAGAGGAAAGTATTTGGAACAGGAACCTCTATGATACAGAAGACAATTTTGATTTCATTTTTATTGTCAGTATAATACAGAGCCAGTGAAGTTCTTTATGAGCCATGCAGAGCTCTTCCAGCATAAGAGCCTATGGGATGGAACATTAGGAATATAAAAACTGCGGTGCATCTACATGAGACGCTTTGAGCACAGTAGACTAATTCTACTGCGCATTAGTGTGGCAGGCAAAGCCTGTGCTAAGGTGCAGCAGATTTAGTCTACTGCGCATTAACATCACAAAAAGACCATTCATTTGTGCTAATGTGCAATAGCACCAATTACAGTGCGTTAGGTTTAGTACCTGCCAGGTATGGTGTGAATGCACCATAGATTTATAAAGTATGAGAGTCATTTTTTGTTTGTTTATAGTTCCTTCTTGATAATTCCTAACATTTTATTTGACTTCTTGACTGGTGCTGAACATTGAGCTGATGTTTTTAGTGAACTATCTACATTGACTCCCAGATCTCTTTCCTGCATGCTAACAATTACTGTAGAGCACATCATCATGTATGTATATTTTAGGTTATTTCTGCCCACGTGCATCACTTTGAGCTTACTAATATTGAATTTCATTTGCCATGTTACCCAGTCACTCAGTTTTATGAAATCTTTTTGTAGTTCCTCACAGTCCACCAGTCCACCTTAGTCTTTACAGATTCACAGAAGTTTAGGGCTGGAAGGGACCTCGTGAGATCATTGGGTCCAGTCCCCCCCTGCTCTGGGCAGGAAAGACTGCTGGGGTCAAATAACCCCCGCAACGTGTGCATCCAGTCTCCTTTTGAAGATCTCCAGGGTAGGTGCTTGCACCACCCCCACTGGGAGTCTATCCCAGAGTCTGGTCACACAAACATTGAAGAAGTTTTTCCTTATATACAGTCTGAAACCTAGGAGCTTATGACCATTGCTCCTGGCTTTCCCCAGGGGCACTTTGGTGAATAGTTGTTTGCCTAGCCCCTGATGTATTTGTAAGCTGCCACCAAGTCCCCCTGAAATCCTCTCTTTTCTAGGCTGAACGGTCCCATACCACACTGAATAATTTTGTGTCTTCTGCAAATTTATCCACCTCAGTATGGACCCCCCCCCCTTGCCTGCAGCCCCCACTCCTACCCTTGCAAAGTAATTTATGAACATAATAACAGCACCAGTCCCAGCACAGATTCCTGGCATACTCCATTGTTTATGTCCTTCTGTTCTGAAAACTGACCATTTATACCCATTCTTGGTTTAATATCCTTAAGTCAGTTTCTGATCCACAAGTAGACCTTTCCTCTAATCCCATCAAAACCCAATTTCAATCAGCATTTGACTTGTCAGGTCCTTGTGACAAGTTGAGCAAAAATAAATTGGAGCAAGCAATGGTAAAACATTATCCTTTCCCCAGTAAAAGTGAGTTTGTTTCTTTCACAGACAGAATTTTCTCCCCCAAGCTGGGGGCCTATTTCCAAAGCTTGCTCAGTCAAGTGAAAATCTGACCTGGGTATATTTAGCTTCAGCAAAAGATGAAGAAACTTGTGTGTGTGTTTGAAGTATCATATCTTTAGCCTGCCCTCAACTGAAAGCGATTAAAGCCTTACCATCTGTTGCTTTAAAATACTAAAATTAACCATTGTAGG